GCAAAAAGGAGAAACAACGAGTAGAGGACAAAGACTTTGTGAGTTCTTTATTTCCTCAAAGTCCGTGGAACTCATCACGGTAATCTTACTTGCTTATCTCCTAGTTGCTCTCGCTTCGCAAGACGTTAGAGGCTAACATGCACATGGCCGACCTCTTCCCAGCGGGCAATGTCTTTTGGGCGGTACACGAAAACGACATTGACCCAAGTGCTTTACCTTCCTCTGCCGTCAATGCAACTATTGCCTCGTCAAAACTGCGACTGTTCCAAGTGGAGAGGGTAGAAAAGGTGTTTGATCAAGTCGTGTTTTCTCGAGATATGCTCAGGTATTGTCTTTTTTCAATGTTTTCATACCGTGCTAACACCAGATATAGTTCCCATATGCCGCATAATTACGATCGCATGCTTCACGAGTACTTATGATACGCACAGAGAATTTCTTTCGGTTATGTATTGATAATCCTAGCATACTAACATATAAATAGAGTTGATAAATACACGGCACTTTCTCTTTACACAGGAAATCGCCCATGTAGTCTAATCTTTATGGGTCGCAGAAAGACAGAATGTGGACGGATGGCACCCACCACTTAAATATCGGCAAATTATGAGTAGGCGTAGTCACTCATGTATGCTAGTTGAACCCAGAAGCCACATTAGCCGTCGGCCAAATTGTGGCCAAGTGACCAAGTACCACGCGGCGCCCGGCCAGCCCTCAAAGGCTTGAACCTCCCCCACCACCTGGATCATTCTGCCACCGAACCCCCCTCTTATTCCACGATCTTGGAGACACTTAATACCGTATTATAGTTGCGGTCCTGTTGAAACACCTTTGATTCTCCCATTGTGAGTTTCTCTTCTCCAAGCCAACCCAAGGGACCATGTAGCTGACTCTTTACGGCCTTTATGGTGGCATTTGCTTTCCCCTTATCAGATAACCTTCTATAAGCTCATCAAGCGCGAATTATATGGAGGTCCTCGCCAGTCCTGCATCCACGCCCAACTCGAGGGCTGTTCGTGAACTCGTTTCCAAGCGCGAGGCCGAAATCCAAGCTCTCGAAGCAAGGATCTTGAGAATGGATTATGAAGCAGACCAAGATATGTACCAACTCCAGGAACGCCCGGCTCGTTCACTCCGAAAGCTTCAGAGTCGAGAGATGCGGCGCATGGGCGAGATTGAGAAATATGTAGTCTCGCGAACAGCTCTACTACTGGAACAGCAGGAGCCGATGCGTCAGAGAATCATATGTCTTAGAAGAGCCAACGAATTGTCGAAAGCATCCATCGCCGGTATGAACAAGACCCCCAGCGAAGTAATTAGTCTCATCTTTAGGGAGTATATCGATTCGAATCACTCCGTATGGGACCTAGTGGGTGTTTGCAAGCACTGGAGACATCTTGCGTTCGGAACCCCTCATCTATGGAAATTCATCACCATCACGTCTCCTCAATTAGATTTTGAGAGAGACCTGGAAGTGATATTTCGAAAGGGGCAGCGACATGTCTGCTATCGGCATAGCCAGTTCATGAAAATTTTGGATCGATGTGGTTCAGTTGCGCTGGATATCGTCATCGAGTGGCAACTCTTTTGGGGCAAACAGTTCGACGAAATTGTCAAATGTCTCAAGCTGCTTACTCATCCCTCAATCATGAATAGAGTCGAATCTCTTACCATCAATGTAGAGGCTCAGGAGCTTATGGATATCCTTCCAGACTATTTTCTTTCAACATCGTTTGAAAGGTTGCAGTACCTTACGATTGGGAAGCATGTTTCGCCTGGCTGGCACAAGAATCTCTTCCACGCCATATCCAGAACATCAAACAAACTGCATACATTCAAAAGCCATTATCCTGCCGATAGTATCCCGCTGCCTACGCACATTTGGTTGGGAATCAAAACACTCCAGGTCGGTTCTCCCCTCAAACTGGATACTATGGACGAAGTCGTGAGGAGGTTCTCTCACGTGGAACATCTCACATGCCTATCATACTACTGGCCAGACGGCGAGAGTCCATGCATCACGTTCCCACACCTCCTAAACGCCTCTTTCTTATGTCTCCCTTCCTCCATTCGACTCCTTGACTTGCCAGTCGTACAGAAATTGCGAGTGTCCGAACATATATGGGGCCCTTCGGAATCGCCTACCACAATCCTCAACCTCATGGATTTTCCAGAGCTCAAGTCACTGGAGGTAACATCCCTGCAGCCAGATAGATGGCTCACGAACATTTCCATGCCAAAGCTAGAGGTTCTTCGTCTCGTCGTTCCCAATGAATCCATAGGCCCGGCCACTCTGAGGGGGACCTCCCTCGAAACGTTTTCAGCCCTGCGAACACTCTATATCACCACAAAGGCAGCGGAACCATTTGTAATAGGGCTTCTAGAGCTGTTACCAGGTCTCACATCTGTTACATATGTTCCATCACTATGGCTCTCAGGGTATGGTCGATTGATCGTACCTCGCTTGTCGGAGTTTAACGAAGGCTTTACGTGCTCTCCAAATCTCAAAGAGTTGACGCTAGGAAAGCTCAAAGAAGGCTACATATTTACAAGAAAATGGGAGTTGGAACCGATGATCAAACGGCTCGTCAGGACTAGAGCCAAGCATCGTGCTCCGTTGGCCAAACTTGAAGTTTTGTGGAGGAAAAGTAAGGAGCCCCAGCAATATATATAACTTCCATTCCCATTTGTCGTTGTTTTCAATCAATATCTATC